TTGTGATTGTACTGATGAGGTACTAGCTTTTATATGGAACACCATGTATTATTTAAAGATCGTTGTATTTTAAGACCCTTATGTTTTATAACAATGGGTTTAAGATCATCTCTGCTTATGGTTCCAGCAAAAAAACACATTGATTTTCATATTTTATTAATATTACAGCTTTATACAATGACCCATAAATGTTAGATCGCAGTAGATCTACAGTAGATGCAGCAATCCTTTCTGAAATTTGGCTTACTTCAGCATTCCTTTGAACAATTAAAAATGAATGAATCTTAAAGTTTAGTTAACATCATTAAAGTTGACGTTCAGTCAAGGTGACAAAGTGTAGAATACCTTTGAAAGCAGATAGTTTTATCCATCATCTATTTACTGGCTCTAATACATCTTTGCTATGAATTCCATTCTCTGCAGTGTCACCCTTAGGATTTACCCTGTTCTATCAATGATGAACACATATTTACTGTCGTTTCTCTGAAAATCAATGTACCTTTCTGATAAAGAAAGCACTTTTTATTTATAAATATACCTGTCCATGCAAATATCTGAAATTCATCCTTTAAAATACTAATAACCATAGTAACTGGAAATAATTATGGTTTGGGATTTAGTCAGTAAGACATCCTTAATTATCATTGTATTACATAATTTCTGATTATTCAGTCAATTGCTCCACATTAAAACATCTTCCCACATGCCAGGTGGTGTGCTTTACTCTCTCTTGTACTTGAAATTGAACAGAACGCACTGCTTATATTTAACCATATAAGAGTGCAAAGCTGACAGTTTTATTGCATCTTTCATATGTCCAAAATCCCCCACAACGCAGGCACAAAAATCTGTTAGGAAACTGGTAAAGTGAAGTCAAACTATATTCTTGACATCTTTTAAATGTAATTCTGGTGCCATAGCTCTGCTTCTCCCACAGCTAAATAGCCAAGGTTTTAGATGACAAGTAACTAAACAATCCAAATTAGTTCTCTTCATTAGCTGGTTGCAACAATGTTCTAACCTTTTTTAAGGTGTTTGTTTTAAACATAACAGTTACAAACAAAGCACTGGTTATAATAATTGAAAGAAATAAATGGTTTTCTTCCACTCACACTTTCAAAATATATTTCTTTTGAAATTGGCCGAAACGTCGACCCGTTTACTAAGAAATAAATGTGTGCAAATGGGATTTTCAAACCTGTGATTTCTCTTGTCTGCTGCTTGGCCTACTTTTGCATCTAACAGATGAAAAAAAAAAACTCAGATGCAGTAATCTAAAGCATGCTAAGATACTGCAATTAAGGTATAATGATAAAATTTCAACAAGATGCCTAAATTAAGTCATGACAGAATGCACCTGCCTAGACTCGTGTTTGCATTATTATCACACACTTTGAAAAGAATAGTCTGTTGAACATGACAACATTATTACATCATATCGAAATGGTTGCATGTTTCTGCTGAATTTACGGATCTGTTCTTAAGTACAGTAAATATACATTTACTGTATAATTCTTATCCTGTAAACATAAAAAAGTAATACACTAAGTATTTTTAAGTATTTTACACTAAAAAAAAGTTTTAAAATAATTTTGTAAAGTAGAATTTATGATACATTAGTAAATGAAACCTAGACAAAAAAATATACCTGCATACAGTAAGTGTTATATACATATACCTGTATACAGTACCTCTGTACTGAGTCATCCCAATCTGACATACTGTAGTCACAGAACATGACCTTCCCTCCAACGTTCCTGTGTTGGCCTGACCAAATGTCAGGATGTTGACATCAAGACAAGTTTGCACAGACATATTTGGGGTTGACCCAAGGACCTTCATTGCCCAGGATCACATCTAACCTTTGGTCACTGGTTAGACCTTTTAAAAGGCATTCGGGGCAATGTAGGTTTCAAAAAACAAAGTCTTGTAAACCTGACATTATGGTAAACATGGAGCAGAATGGAAAGAATAAAACAATATTCATGAAATGCCTGCTTTTGACCTCACCCGGGGCATTGGTTATTTTTTTTATAATGAAGGGAAGCACCTGTCCACCTTAATGTGTGATGACTTTAGGTCATTTTGACAAAAGGCAAATTCTCGTATAAAATTGGTTGAGGGCAGTGCTGTAAAACAGCACCTCATTTGACAGTTTCAGAAAAACGCTAAAGGAAATGAAAGGAACGCCTTACAGCTCCCTACTCATAAGGGTCATTAATGAGTCTCCTGGCAGAGCAGCATCTGCTGGTCCTTCTGCAGAAATTTTGTGGGGAGGTAGCAAGAGAGATTTTCAAAGGAGAGCATGCTAAAAGCCAATGGGAAACTTACTCTTCTGACTTTAATCTTGGGCTAATTTAAAAATGAAGGCCCAGATCTGTACAGATAAAAGCAGAATCCCTCAGAGGTGGCCATCCTTTTTGTGCGAGAAAGCTCAGGAGCAAAAGCTACCTTCTAATGAGCTTCAAATTACACCAAAGAGAAGATGGGAATTTATATGCTGTGTAAATTGAGAAAGTGGTCCAATGAAAATGCAGATTTCAGATAAATAGTCTTACTTAAAAATATTTTGGTCCTTCTAATGCAATGAATGTATTCACTATTAGAAACTATAATATTAAGTGAAATCTGCAAAACTGTACACACAAAAGATAAGACCAACCATGTTCTAAAAATTATTCTATTTTTCTCTGACCTTGCCTGATTTAAAAATTACTCATCTGTGCATGTTGTCCCAAGTGATCATGGTGTTTCACAGAAAACTTTTCCTGCTAATTCCACTTTTGGGTTCAGTAGTGATGTAAATATTTGGTAGTTCTAAAAAACGACACATAGTAGAAGGACAAACATTAAACATGAAACAATCCCTATGCTTAATGCAGCCAGGCTTCAAGGATTACTGCAAAATGGTAATAGTTGCAGAACATATTTGTAGAAAGCATTATACTAAAATCATTATCTAAAACAATAACCCAGGTGCTTTATTTGGCAGTTCAGCAGTCCAGACACATGGATTATGGCTTTATTAGGAAACTGAACATGCAGAAGTATAATTGATGCCAACTTTTGGCATTACTGAAAGAGTGGAAACATTTCATACTACGTGAAAGATCCAAATGTCCACATTTCTACTGGGAGTTACAATATGTGATGTCGGCATCAGTTCATGGTGTATTGCACTCACATTGGTTACACGTTAAAACATGTGCTTATTCTGGGTGAATTAGTGTGAGGATTCGAGTTAAAAGCCATCCAAATGAAAGGGCATGAGCAAGCAAAGCAGAAACACAGCATACATACATTCCATATTAATGTATAACTCTGGTCAACATTTGAATTGTTTGATCTACTTTAATGTTAAAGTCATTTAGGAGAAAAAAAATATTTTACTGTTGATTTCACATATTGAGCTGCACCACTTATCTAAGGAAAGACAACAAAAAACTCACATGTGACAGAACATTAAGAAAAAAAAATATCTACTTTGACCATTAAAAAACAGAGGCTAGAGATTACCTTTCCAAATGTTGTGATTCTAACGTGTTGTTTATCTATTTTCTAATGATTTAAACTCCCATGATTTGTGTGTATTGTTCTCCAACTGTTTCAGGAGTCAATCATAGAAAAGTAAAAGTTGATGTAAAAATATTAAGAGGGATCTTTGGTAATACTCTAAATGCTTTCATAAGTCTAAACTCTTTTTCAAAAATCACTGAACCTAAACTTTGAGATGCAAAGGGGAAATTTAACAACAAAACATAATAGAAATGTATTAAATATAATCTAAACTGCCTGGACATTGTAGCACTGTCGAAATTGGGGTTGCAAAATGTGTTGAAAATGAATACACCTAGAGATTGTTATAAGCAGCCTATGAATTAAAAATTAATTTCACACAAATATTTTATCATATGCATTCTCATGTTGATATAACACAAAATTGATACTTATGTTTCATTGGACTTTTTATTTAAAAGTTCTTTTCTATACATTAAAAGATTAATGCTGTTTTTGATGAAAGAGATTGCCCATATATGTATCATTAGCATGTTTTTGTTTGTATACAGTTAATTACCTGTGCATTCACATAAGCAAATAGAAACTAACCAGAATCTCCTGCTGAGAAGTGCTTTTTTTCTTATTGTAATTAATTAAGTTCTGTATTTTTTTATTTTCAGGATATTGACTTTTATGAACTCACTTAAGAAAGAACAAACTCAATCACTATCATTAATAACCTAATTCTATAAAGAAAGAATGCTAATGTATTTTTCATGATTTGCTAAGCTGTAATTCTACATAATGATCACTAGGGGATGCTCTTGCATGAAGCAAAACTTCTGTTTCCTTGCACAGATACTCAGAAACACAGATGAAGTATTTGCCTAACACCGATACATATGTTCCTGCAACTGTTACATAGCCGTGCTGTTAATAAAACTGAGTACCTTAAATACTCGATGGCTCAAAATAAAACATTATTAAGGTGCTGAGCATGTGGTCTTCCATATTCCTTTTATTTGCACCCCCCTTCCCCCGACCTTCTTGAAGAATGAACTTCCATAATGAACCGGATTTGCAATGTACTGTAGCATCAAACAACACATTCGAGTGCCACTCTTTTTTTTCAGGGCTCGGAAAACACACAGACGGCAGACGACAAATATGCAATATCCGAGATTATATATATCTTCCAAATTTCACCAAAGGTTCATGACAAAAAGAATACGAAATCGCAGTTCGGACAAGCAAAAAGATTGGGTCAATGACATATTTTGGTCCCCCACTCACACTCACGCACTACCCACACCCCATCTGTTCGTTGCAATGTGTGGATAAATACAGATATCACTTGAAAACGACAGGCTTTTACGTCGGTGGTATGGCAACTGGCACGCGTGCGCTCACTATATTTCACAGGGACTGCTTTATTTGGGAAAGGTTCTGACCATCAAGGTCCGCATCCACAGATTAGTAGGATAAAATAATTGTGTACTCACCATATTGACTTCAGATACCATGTCTATACTGGCGATATCTATATTCATGCCCACTGCCACCGGGGGACCTGCAAACCAACAACGGTCCGCAATGTAATCTTTTCAAGAACTTAACTCTTTCCATAATAAGATTTTATTCATCTAACTTAAATAGCAGCTTTAAAAGGCATTACAGAAGTATACACATTATTGAACACCCCGTTTAAAAATCAAGTCAGTCCCTTGCCCAGTATTACCTGTGATTCTAATGTTTTAACCTTACATAATAGAATACTTGCACAATACCCCCCAGTGTTCATTGAAAAACATGGGCATTTTCCCCTCCCAGAGTATTAATGTATTAGATTCCAAATTCATATTCACTGCGCTTTACACTATAAAACCCTAACCCCAACCCTTCAAAATATGTAAAAGGCATTTTACTACCGGAGTATAAAATCACTGTGTTCGCGGTACAGCGATAGCAATATTAAATGTCAAATATAAATATTTTATGCAGGGAGATTTTTAGCAGTTTATTAATGGAACTATTTTGTAGCAAAGTTACATTACATATTGACTCTGTCACAAGTTAAAAAATCTACCTACACAGGAGACTGTTTACTAAAACAGGTCTTAATCCAATAACGTTCAAGGCATGTTAGATGAAGACTGTCCATTTGTCTGAAATTTGGCCCGATCTCTTTAACACATGTAAACCTTTTACAGAAATGGGAGGTATGTGCGCTAAACTTTAAAATGAACCCTAACACATTACAATTCATACAATTTACGAAGCAGTTAAACACGTCAAAAGGCTAATAATATTGCAATCAATTAGAACCCTTATTAAATTATTTTAATTACCTCCAAAATCTGGCCTCAAGCGAATGTCATATCCTTTCAACAGTCTATCCACAGTTTCTTTTACCAGTGACATATTGCTAGGGTCATTGACACTAGAGAAAGGAAAGAGGTAAATTCTTAGATGCAGAGCCTTCTGTATGGATTATTGAAGTATTTCATAGTGTATACAGTCATACAAAGTAAGGAACAGAGGTGATGACTTACCTCTGCGCACAGACCACTGCCACTATTAAAGGAAATGTCCAAACCCCAAAGTAGCTCCTTTTCCTGATTCTCAGCATCGCCATAGTTTTGATATGATTTTGGATTTCAGTGAAGACAGACGAGATCCAACTTATTCTGGCCAGTGCAGTAATTCCAATGTGGGGCGCATGCGCACACTCTACCACAACATCAAGGAGCAGCGGCTGCTGATGCTGGTGGTAGAGCAATTTCCCTAGCAGAGGGAAAAAAAAATTTAAAGGGGAAAGCGAAGAATAAACCAAGATTGTCAAAAGAGGTAAAAAATACTGCTGTAAAAAGGCATCCGCTGAATCCCAGTTATACTGTTTTCAAAGCATGGATATATTCGTGTATATTATTATCATTCAAGATTACACGCGACGAAACAACAACCGCGTTTCATATCTATATAATTTCAGAAGTGAATAATGGGGGTACAAAATGTTCAAGTTGTCTTTACTTTACCCAGAACGTTGAAATTAATCGAACGCCCGCAGGTTGTGACTAGTAAAACCTCTTCTACTTAAAACCCATGCTTCAAGAGGCAAAGCTGTTAAATCTTTTGAAGAAGATGGGCTGTTGCTAATCCGAATTGTTCAACAGTCAATGTGCAGATTTATTTTCTGAAAAAAAAAAATCAGTGATAATGATTCGGAAACCCAAGCTGCTATCAAGCCAACTCCCACAAAGGTTATACCACCCAAAGATTTAGAGGGGATACAATTTCATAATAATCAAATCATGCTACAGATATTCTAAGAACTGAGATAACATATCTGTGCACAGGAAAAGAATAATGAAGGACTAGTTACAAGAAACTAGACTTAACAGCCTTGTTTTGATACTCAAAATTGCGTTTCATGCTATTCTACATAACACCTCCTTACAATACAAATGGAGAACAAACTATAACGTGTTTTTATTCCTTCCCGTTCCTTCCTGTTTTGGCTAGTGGTAAATATAGAGGCTATCATGAATAACAAGCTTGCTCTGGTTTTTGCTCAATTTTCAGTTACTGCGTCTTACACTTTGACGACAGAAGCTACTGTACTGTTTATGCAGCGCTCTTTCTTTCCTTTGCCTCAGTGTTTTTCAAGCAAACGTTTTAAAATCTAAGCGCACCCGTATTACTTCGACCTCGGCAGACAGTCCTTGCATGTAAAGCGGGGTGATACACATTGAATGGCTGGTTCATTGATTGCTTTATTGATTGATTAATTTACTGATTCCAGAGATTTGAGGACGTTTTAGGTAGCCAATTACACAGGGATACAGAAGCGAGAAAGGTAATAGGTAAGAAATGTTGTGCGTATTACTGTATATCATTAGCGAGTTAGCTTTATTTTTCTTGCTCTAAAAACGATTAATAGGTTATATCTGGCAGTGAAACAGCAATGATAACACATAATGTATCCACATTATCGCACCGTGTACTGGTGAGTGAGATAGAAACATGTTATAAAAGAACGCACAGGCATGACTTTACTACGTGTCCGTCATTCTATTCAGAACAAGCGCAATGTGCTCTTCATCTTCCTTAACACTTAAACCACGGGACCTTGGGGCAGTACGTTACATGAAGCGCTGAGGTCCTGAATTGCCTACAAATTGCCGGACCATAAGTAGCTGCATGAATGCGCACTCGCAGAATCAAATACACTGAAATCGTGTAATCCCGGTTTCCAGAGCAAGTATGTGATTACGGTATGTGATTTTTAGGAAACACATTCGACGATCTCATTAACTTAAATTAAAAAATCTAATATTTAAAAGGTGTAACTACAGACGTTAAAAACAATCTTGGCATCGCTTTCTGACAGATTAGATAAGCCCCGTATCTCAACTACTATCTAAATCAGAAGCTTTGCCTGGTATGAATCTTCAGTACACTAAGCTAGAAGACTTTAATGCAGCTTGACAAGGAAAGTATCTATGCATTGTTACTTACCATTGAGTAGAAATATGGTTAAGAGATCTGGCCTTACCACGTCGGCAAAGTGGTCCTACAAAAACACAAATTCCTGAACATCACTGTGAAGGTACTAGCAAACCCCAGTTATTCATTTGCGTGTTGATAATGACTCAGGTGTATTTTGAATGTGACGAATGCTACTAACGTTAGCTTGAAAAGTTTAAATCAAAACATATTTTGAAGGAAATGCCAATCTATTGATAAAAACAATTCTTGGAACAAGAAAGTACCATAGCTGCTAATTTCTTTTCTAAGAAATATGTGGTCCTAAGTCTTCTATAAAACTATTGAGTTATTCACTACGATTTACTCTCCTACAGGTACAGTACCTGTATGCTACATTACTCTGTGAGTGGCATTCTTACACTGTGTTCTGTTAGAAAGAGGATTGATAGGGGATATTCTTTACTCCGAAAATGTCCCATGCTTATTGTGTAGTTGAAATTTTCAATGTAGTACATTTTTTTTCTCGTGATAGTTTGGGCCCAGTAATCATAAAAGATCATCCCCATCAACCAATTCCCAAACATATTTAATTTTTTGCATGAATGAATGTTGTGTTCCTCTTCTAATAACGATATCAGAATTTCAACCAAACATGCCAATTGATTGTCTCAAATTTCACATAAATGTTTTAGTACAGTGAATCTAGTTATAAATTGCTAATTTCGTGGCACTGTCTGAGTGCATAACGTTAATATTTGTAGAAAGCTTAGGTTAGTACCTCAAGAGAATGATATATACTGTAGTAAAGAAAGGCAAGAAGGTGTTAAAATGACAAATACAGTAAGTCTGGCAAAAATTCCAAGAAGAAAGCAGATCACATAATGGCTACAGAATCACTGACTTGTGCACTTGTCTAGTTCTCAGAGGAGACAGAGAAAGATAAGGAGTTATAAAATACATTTCGATACTGTATGAGTATCTTTCAGGATTTGTTTAGCACTATATCATTGGCTTCTTAATAGGTGAGCATTAGATTATAACTATTCTAATACTTTATTGGGTTGGCAGATTTTGTCCTGAAGAACTGTAGCCCCTCAAGCTAAGAATGTAAGAATCAAATATGTTTCAATTGCAACTTAAAAGTTAAGTTTTTCTAAGAGACATTGTTTATGTTTCCAATTAACATAAATATGTCTTTGAAAGGAAAGAGGAAACCCCGCTCAGTAAAAAAAACATGTGAACACAGAGCGAACGTGTAAACTCCACACAGAAATTACCATATTCAGGCATCGGGTCATAAAGGGTCTTAAAGCACTGATGCAGCAGCTCTGTCAGTTACAACATACAAACGGCTTAGTGACGCCAGGAACCTAGTTGATTCCTCGTCTGACGAATGTCTAAATTAGTGTGGTACAGTAGATGAGCCTCATCTATAAAAGACGTATCAAAGCCTAAATATTGTCAGACTTCACTGCAAAACCCTTAAGCATGAGCTTATTTCAAGAAAAAAACAGCTTGAAGTACACTTCTAATGAACCTTTACGAATTTTACAAGGGAAAGAAAAGGTGTCGACCCAGTGCTAATCTGATTTAGAACAGTATATAACTGCATACAGTATAAACTAGATGTATCTTGTCTTCCACTGTACGCAGTGTTGGAGTATCACTTTGATATGTCAATTCATTTTACTTTGGCAGCCAATGGTATTAAAACCCGCATGATATATTTAAGCACCGTACCTCAGAGACTCCATTATGGATGCCTCAAAAGCTCGAATTAGGGACAAGACGTACAGTATTGACTCCTATCTATTTCAAACCATCTGTTTTGAACGCAGCATGTATAACAGCGCACATTGTAGACTGGGTAGAGGATGCGCAAGGATTAAAACATGTAATTCATCTTTTTTTTTTTCTTTTTTTAACTGATGTGTTAGTTCCGGGAAGCCTAGTAGCGCTATACAATAAGATTCACCGGTGCGTTAAACATTATTTTATATTTTGGCCAAAGCTCGATAAAACCGACTTCTGCTTTAAAACTTAGTCATAAAGCATTAGGACATCGTTAACATGAACAAGCCGGATACAGTACATTATGTTAAAATGTAATAGTTCATAGATCACATAATAATCATTAAATTAATCCATATAGTGTAGATTAACCCTGAATTTACTGTACACGGTAACTCCACGTTTCATGGTACTGTAAATCGCTACAGCAGCTTTCTATATTGTTGTCATAGAAATACAGCACAAATGATTGATCCAACCCAATGATGTTAACATGGCTGTAACTGTAATTCTCCTTTTTGGATGGATTGGTTTGCTAAGTGAACAAAAGTACAGAAGTATATTACTGTATGAGAGTGATGTACTGTACTGATACGATTACATAATTACCCTGATAGATGAAAAAGGACCAGACACCTCTAAAATGTTCGTTTATATTTAAACCGTAGGAATAATCAACCTTCATTGCATAGTCTGTCGGACACAGCATTTAAATCCCATAGCAGTAAATGCTTTACTGAAGCAGACTGAAGACATATTGGCATTTTAGTCTGAGAATATCTGTAAAGAAAATTCAATATAATCTTTCAGTATTATTATTGCTTTAACCTTAGGGACGTCTAACCATTTTCTTGAACAATGCTTCACTGAGGAGTCTGGAGACATCCAGTATATTCCTATGAAGTGCGTCTTCATTGACTTAACTGGATTTTTAATTGATTACAGTTTTTGTTCAATTCTAGTCTGTCTTCCGGTGTTACGATTATAGTGATCATAGAGTTAGTGTATATGGGTTGGCATAAAACCCAAGCTTTACACAAGCTTCCACGTGTTACACGTTTATTTTCTGTGGCGAGACCACAATGATCCCCCCTCCAAAATACAGTAAACTGGGTAGCATTGGAGGAATTCCACCAGTTCTATTAGTCTTTCATTGTATTTTAATACCTATAAATATACAATGAGCAACGATTTGGTCAAATAAACTTGATTTCTGCGAAAAGTTTATGAACTTACTGCAACAGACAATATGCTTTGGTGGAGTTCACTGTAATCTTTTCTATTCAGGATATCCTTACCTGTCAGCAATCGCAGCTGCACATGTTCTGGAACTTCTGTGACACGACATCTGTCTTGGACGTCTAATTTCTTAAATTCTAAATACTGTACAGTATGTTATAGATGTTATGCAAGTCGGTTCAACTTTCCCGACAACACTTACAGTACTTTGCTTAACATGTACTGTATTGCACATTCGAAGCAGGTTTTGACTATCCCTGTCGCACCAAATTATCTGTACTGTAAATTACACCAAATTGCACCACAATCTCTGTACTTTTCCATTGGACAGTTCTAATGGAATAACTGAAATCAACAGCAGCTTAAATATTTGTTGGGAAACGACTAGTTTCCTCTTATATAAAAAAAAGAAAAAAAAAAGAAAAATAGTTTACTTTTTATTGTTTTCATTAGAAATACCTTGGATTTTATCGTATCATTTCCTGGGTCCTTTCCTCACCTTCTTCCTTCTTTACAAAACATTTTATAAAGACTATTGCATAGTTTTATGGTCAGCACTCTATTGCGCAAAACGGTATTATCATTAACACCACCAACATTCTTTCTTGCAATTTCTCTTACAAACTTCAGTTTCTCTTATAAAAGGCGTCTCTTTTTGCATAATAAAGCTCTGGGTCTGGTTTTGGAGGGACGGTGGAGACTATTGTGTATGGGTACTGATCACACCAGGTCACTCAGATGTATAAAAGGGCACCAGTATTGAAGAATTGCTTGGGGTAACTTCAGTCAGTAGACGGTCCAGAGTGCTATACAGATGGGAGTATTACCAGTTTTTTTTTCATAACGTAAGGGTTCTCCTTTCTTGAATCTCCAACTAATTTACTCTGCCCGTCTTCTTCTGGCCTATTTAAGGCTGGATAATGCGCATGTAAGTACAGTAAGCCAGTGGCTTATAGACTGTGACGTTTTCCTTTCGTAGTGAGATTTAATTGATATTTATACTGTGTATACAGTATCTTTGCCTGGTGCTGCGGGGGTACTGTAAAAGGAGTCATATACCTATGTAAGCTTAAGCAGTATACCGTACGCTGTGTGCTGAAACTGAAATGATGCTAAGCGACTTCCGAATTAGGTCTGAATGATTCCTGGTAAGTGCAGGCTATCATTGTTGGCACTAGAACAGTTGTTCAATACTGGTCACAGCAGCTGAAGTAGTAACAACAATAATCTTAGTCAGGATTAAAAAACAGATTTGTACTATATGGTGTACAGTACGTAGATACATCTAGGCTTAACTGAGTAAGAGACGATATAAGTAAATATTGTTTCGCTTAATAAAAAAATAAAGCAAATGGAAATATACAGTACCTCAGGTCTTTCAGAATAATATGGAGCTTTTAAACTTTATTATGAATTAACATCTGTAGAATGCTCTCTCTCAGAGAAATTGGAGCCATAGCTGGCGTAATCTCCAACAGCAGGACATTTGAGCTTTTTCCAAATCTCCTAACGGGTCCCTGCTAATTCCCTGCCAAAACTATCAGTGGATTTCTTCCTTTTAATCTCCCATAATGCCTTATTCGATTATTGTCAATGCTCTCCGTCCGTGCTTCTCCGTCTCTTAAAACTCTAGTTTTCCTACTGAGCCAGTCAGATGAGGCACAAACGCACAAGTGAAGTCGCTGAGGACGGGGAGTAAAGCATCCCGATTCACATTGAAGCTTAGGATCAAAATTTTAGAAGAATCAAAATATGGAATATGCAAATTATTACAGTTGACAAGGGCTTTTTGGTCTTGTGCGCCAGAGGCATGGCTTTTCTGATAAATCGCTTTCTCTTGGTTTGGTAAGTGTTTTCTTGATAAAGTGTAATTCTGTCGTGTCACCAGAATAAAAGAAGGGGAACTTATGTTTATTTGGTGTCATCGTTTGCTTATACCATGTTTTAATATAACGATTTTCTTTTATATTAGTATAGCATACAGATAAATACAGATAAATATATATTTCTGGCAAGTTAACTTTCTGAGTTTGAGAAGCAAACGTGCTTGACAACAAAATCGATTAAAATCTATTTACATCCCAGTGTTGGCGTGGCGTGGGGAACCCAGCCAACAGAAGTGAGCATCTTTTCAGAAAACATCACACGTATTTTGGACAGGCTGCTGGATGGCTACGATAACCGACTACGACCTGGATTTGGAGGTATTGCGGACGTTTCTATGGCTGTGTTAATAACAGGTGTTCAGTGCAGTTGTATGAACTTTCCGACAAATATTTTGACGTGTGCCTAAAATGTTTGTTTTGCACGAAGGCCATGGCAGAACCTTGGGAAAACTGGAGACCCTGGAAACAGTTTCTTCGTCTCTGTGAAGTGTTACCGATCTGATTAATGTCTCTGTCATACATTTTTGCCCTAGAGTGCTTCTCATGTCTGAGCAATTAAATTATGCACTGACCAATTAAGCAGTACACAGTGCAGGCCAACCAATAAAAAGAGTTTAATTATTCTGATCATTGCAGTGCAAAGAAACCTAACACAGTATAGTGTCTTAATTTAACAGGATTATTGTAAATTATTGTACTTTAGAACCACAGCTTTGTTAACTCAAAGTAGAAAGTTTGTACCCTTTTCATAGTTACTGCATTTTAATTAATTTCGCTTGGGATTTGATGCAAGCAATATTAAAGACTACTATAAACAATAAATCTTTTTAAGGTCCTGTTACTGAAGTCAAAACAGACATCTTTGTTACCAGTTTTGGCCCAGTTTCAGATGTTGAGATGGTAAGTTGTATTATTTTCTTATGTATAGAGTTCAGTTTTGTGAAAACAAATTGTTCATTCATGTTAATAAAATCGTGTGTTTTATGTTCATGTTCCTAGAGACAAGCTATTAGAATTGCTAAGAGCTCTGAGCTTTAACATGTCCACTGCCTCAAGTCATGTTCGTGCTGCCTTCATTATTCTGGTGTTTGGGCAGAATGTTATTAAAGCTGATTAGAAAGTTTAATCTGCTTGACAATCCCTTCCAGTGAAGGACACAGTTGGGTGTCTTATCTTTGGTGCAAACTACACTGTTTTCACTGCATCTAAATCTATTTGAACCACCATGTGAAAAACATAAGAAACAAAAATCCTAATAAAACCTAATATAAAAGGGCATACATTAAAATTATTAGATTTATTCTGCAGTGCTTTTAGGCACTGATTACCTTGAAACCCATTAATCCATCCATCGTCAATCATTTTTTCCTTGTGAGGGCTGTGACATATTTATTAATTTAAAAATGCTTGTATGATTGGACAATGATTAAAGTTGGGGTGACAACATTTCTCATTTGTTCCCTCTAGGAATATACAATGGATGTATTCTTTAGACAGACATGGATTGATGAGAGATTGAAGTTTGATGGGCCCATTGAAATTCTTAGACTCAACAATCTAATGGTTAGTAAGATCTGGACTCCTGACACCTTCTTCAGAAATGGCAAGAAGTCCATCTCTCACAACATGACCACCCCTAACAAGCTTTTCAGGATCATGCAGAATGGGACAGTGCTATATACAATGAGGTATGTCCAAAACATCAATATGTCCTAAATATAAAAGTCTGAGATTAAATATTTTGTTACAGAATATCCAGATCTCCTACTGCACATATCTTGAAAATATGAATCATTTAGGATTACCTCACTGTTTTCTTGAAGGGGATTAGTGTTATTTTGTAGGTTTTAATCATTAGCAGAATTATGCTCACATAATTCTGCTAATTATGTTCACATAATTCTGTCTTAGGATCCTATCACATGTTTCTATCTTACAGTACTACAATTGTATGTGAACAGTAATGGAGGTTCAGGAAGGATAACAGCAGGAAAGTTCAGATGGCCTAAATCATAATCATTCCTGATGTAACTTCCTGTATTTTAAAAAACTCTAATACTATACGTTAGCCTCTTCTCTCCTTCACATTCATCTTTTGATTCTCACCTCCACCCCACCTATGCAGCTCTCTCTTGGTTCACTTTTCACTCTGCAGGGTGTCCCAGCCTCCTTGTCCTGTGGCCCTCAGACAAGCAGGTTAAGCAAAATGTACTTTGACTAAAACACGCAATAAACATTTTTCAATACATTTAATTCTTGGATAATGTTATTCCTCCTGTAATATTTTTGTGTGATCTGTAATGTGTATTTTAACTTTTTGGTACTGTACTGTATATGAACCTTATCCTTGGTGTATGTTAATACATTTCAGACTCACCATCAATGCAGAATGCCCCATGAGATTAATGAACTTTCCAATGGATGGTCATGCATGTCCTTTGAAGTTTGGTAGCTGTAAGTATTATTTAATTTATTTACATTTTTCTTTTTTTCTGGAGGAGTGGGTGTAGTTTTAGAGTGTATGTGATAGATATATTTTAATAATAGTTATTACAATCTTTTATTTGCTTACAATATAGATGCCTATCCCAAAAGTGAAATCATTTATACATGGAAGAAGGGACCATTGTACTCAGTAGAAGTCCCAGAAGAGTCATCAAGTTTACTTCAGTATGATCTAATAGGACAGACTGTGTCAAGTGAAACACTTAAATCAAACACAGGTAAGGAGCATATTTATTTCAGTTGAATGACTACCAAGTAGACTTGTAGGTTTTTATTATAAAGTAGAGTTTGATTTCTATGTGAAGGTTGAAATAGAAGTATTTATTTTTCCCCTGAACACACGTAGATGCTAAAGCTAACCAGCAATATGATCAAGAGACTGAGAGAATGACATACCAATATTTATAGCAGAGTATTATAAATTATTTTGATTTTAATTGACCTTGCTCAAAGTTTCAATACAGTGTGCTGTAACTCTTAGCAAAATGTAAGGTGGTTTATATTTATAAGGTTAGAATTGAAAATGTCAGTTTCTTACTGTTTCAAATTTTCCAGCTGGGTAGAGTGATTAAATGTTATTGTGAAATTAAAGCACATATATTCATTTTTTTTTAGACATGGCAATGATGGTAATGTTTTTGATATATTGAAATTAGGTTTTTCTTTAGGAAAAGCATGGGCCAATATTCTGGTTGCTCCCTTAAACTGTGGAATGAACTAATCATTTGTGTCTGTCCAGTGGTTACTAAATAAAGCAGTCACTCAAAATGGTTGTGTAGTGTACTAGAATATGTAAACTCTGAAAGTGCAGGTGAAAGTGTGTAGATCTCAATCCTGTTGATCTGTTCCAGAGAATCCAGAGAGAAGTCCAAAAAAAGCTAAACTTTAAAATTTTAAGTGACGAAAAAGAACGTTTTCTTTTAGTTTGATTAAGATCAGAAGTGTTTTGAAGTGCTGTTGTTCTAAAACTGTGAAACCCCAATATTGTTTGTGCCAAAAATCCATTTGTTTTCTGACAGGTGAATACATAGTTATGACAGTTTACTTCTACCTGCAAAGGAAGATGGGATACTTCATGATTCAGACATACATTCCGTGCATAATGACAGTCATACTTTCTCAGGTGTCCTTTTGGATCAATAAGGAGTCAGTTCCTGCTAGAACTGTATTTGGTAGGCTCTGGGATGTTATATTAAATGTCCACTATATAGCCACATCATCAGTGTTTACATGTAACAGGGTTAGAAAATATATCTGATTGTTATCATTCCTCATTTCAGCAAAAGACTGAAATGACAAACACAAACACTTCAATCTTACACAAAGACTTAAATCTTGAGGTTGGATATACTTATAAATAAACAGCCTTATATGAACTTCATTCTTAAATAAAGTTTTTTTTTCCCATGTTGCTTCAGTATGAAAGAGCACAGGAGTATGTTGATAAACATAGGAGGATATGTAAAATTAGAAAAAAGATCAATTAAAAAGATTTATGTTTATGATTTCATTTGAGGGCCTTGCCTAGCTCTGTTGGTAGAGCATGAGACTCATACTCTCAGAGCGTGGGTTTGTGTCCCCTGTTGGGCGCCAGGTCCTCCATGTTGGAGACTGGGCACAAAGCTAACAGCCCTGTCCCAGAAAAAAAAAAACAAATGTTACGGAAACAGCAACAGGATGTTACTGTCCCTACATGCCAGAAGGCATAACGGGCCAACATCCATCCATCCATGATTTAATTTGTGTGATTTTTAATGCTTTAATAGCATGCTAAAAGAACAGGTTGTAATTGCTGGTAACAAGGATGAGTTGTAAAAGCTTGTTTTAGGATACTAATTCATATTTGTTGAACTTTCAAGCTGTTTTTTCAGGATCAGCTTACATGACTTAGATTACTGCATGACATAGGGGTTTGATTTTTGCCTTAGGAACAGGGAGTTCTTTTTCTTAGTTTGATTCTGATCCTTTCAATTTAGATTTTAATTTGCTCTGTTTGATTTTACTCATATGAGTGAGAAGGCTGGTTTGTGCAGATTACGATTCTCTCACAAGTCCTTCAGAATTTAGACTGGACTGAAATTAAGGAAGATATAAATCATTTGCATGGATTTAAGTTTGCTACTTTTGGAATGTACATTTTCAGAAACTCATTAACTTTGTATGTCCTGCTGGGTTAATTTCTAATAAAAATAAAATGTTGTTTAGATGACATTTCAGTTCCACAAATCTCTCATGTCCTTGAGGAGATCTTATATAACATGCAGGCATTTCTAATACTAAATAGATTAAAGATTTCATTTCCCATTTCAAGTTTTTGAAAGTTTAAAAGTGAATAGCTATTGCTAGGTTAATATCTGGTGCAAATTATACATCCAAGCTCTTTATGTAAAGAGCCATTAAAATTATAATAATTATAACAAACAAAATATGTTTTAAAAAATTAGAGCAGGAACCATTACTCAACTCATTAAATCAAAACGGCTTGTTGTAAAGTTCTAAAAGACAGGTGACCTCTGTGTAATAAGAAGATATTCTAGAAGCTTTAAGTACAGGAGCTTAACTGATTGAGACTGATCTGTGCTTTGCTTTTTACCTCAAACAACACGGTGATGCCATGAGACCTGTGGCACTATTAAAAGGAGCAGGCGATTTAGAGAACAGAGTCATAATATATTATATGGTCTTTTGGGAACTCACAGGTTCTTGAGATACAGGGAAATAACTATAGTAAACTTACGCAGTGGATACAAAGCACTGACTTCAAGGTGCCAACATTTTGTAACAAAATATTTAGATGGCTACATATTTTTCTAAATATTATGAGAAACTGCCTTGGAATGAGTAAATCTTTTGCAAATAATGTAAACAGTATACAGTATACTGTATGTAAGTAGAACACGTGGGGTTAGGGTGCGTGATGGGGTCAACATTTTGTGGTGTTAGTCTTTGCCTTATTCTGTGCTTAAACTTTGGGTTTTGGCCAGCACACCTAACCTGCAGGATCACAACCCCTTCTTTGCACACAACCTGAATTACTTTTTACAGAGTTTGAAGAATGTTAGTTCACCTGGGTGCTTTTCCCAGGAATTAGTCAAGGATAGCCACACATTCACTGAGAAATGTGTCTAGTGATTGGGCTGGGTGCCACAGACTTGTACAGTAAGATCCTAACTTTCTTTACATTATTGTAATGCACTACAGTGATTCACTACCATCCATTACATTTATTGTGTTCTTTCTCGAAGTGTTCATTTTTTTAAAGTAGGCAACTATTTCTTGCGTCAACAAGCTGTGATACTTATGAGGTGCCGTTTAGGCCATTATTCAAACTTTACCTCTCATGCACACACAAAATGCTCTCACATATACACAAAATAACTAGTGAATGTGAGAGCGTTTTCTGTGTATGTGAGAGATAAAACTAGTGAATTTGAGAGCATTTTATATGAACGTGAGAGGTAAAATGGAGAGTGTGAGAGCAATTTTTGTGAGTGTGAAAAAGCATTTTGTGTGTATTTGAGAGCAATTTGTGTGTGTATGAGAGGTAAAGTTTGAATAATGGCCTAAACGGCACCTTATAGATACTCCATACCGCATAACTACAAAGACTAAGACATCTCTGCCAAGGTCTGGCAAACAACTTGAGATGAATTCCATAATGCATAGATCAAAAGCATCCCAGCAAACCCTCTTCTCAGTTTTCTTACCAATTCTAAATCAGGACTAGGCTACAGTTCTGCAGACAATGACCATCATATGTGTGCATAAAAAGTATAAGCTCATGACTGCCGCTCATGAAGCACAGGGTGTCACCACAAAGTATTAACCTCACTGTACAGTATTTTCTCAGCACTAAGCATTTATCAACATAAACATGTATAGTGCCATAAGCCTTTATTTGAGAAAATGGTGACTTTTGTCACAAACTAACACATTCCATTTCTTTCTTCTTGGAAATAAACTATGTGAATGTCTAATTAACGAGAACATTAGAGAGACATTCCCCTGGAGTGGCACAAAAACCTATTTTCCTCAGACTGTATGATACAAAGGCTGAATGAACCTCTTTTATTTTGACTTGCTTGGAAGTGATCTTACTCAAGTTTTAGTTTCCTAATTGGTAAATATATTAAAAACAAATTTGCTTTGTTTTGTAAAAACAAGCACTTTTTTTTACCTGAAGTAGTGAAATCACTCTGATCAAAGTATATATTTTTACTGTAGATGCAGAGAAAAATCAGATGGGTGTATTTCTTTGCTTGTTTTTTATGTTTTGCTTTTGTGAATTGTATGCAGATTAAATTGACATTACAATAGCTTTTGCTACTGGGACATTAAGAAGATTGAGTACACCCCTGAAATACGGAATGAGAACAGCTCTTGTTGTTACTTATGTAACAGTTAGCTCTCCCTCCTTAAATGTGATTTAGTAAATCCAGCCAATTAATATTAAAAATTTCAGGATCTCTCCCTTACAAACATATACACATATACAATTTATAGTACCATATTTAATTTCATAAAGTACAGATGTTTAATTTCATAGAGTACAGATGTTTTTTTTAAACAAATTGAAGAAATGCACGACACCTTTATTTAACTTAATCGGTTGAGTTTGGTCTCATTACTACTGATTGTCTTAAATAACATATGCAGGATTGTACATCTTTTATAAACAATTCTGTTACACTTCTGGTATATAAGGCATTATATAAGGCATTGCATTTTGCAGTAAAATAGTGCCTCTATCACATACTATTGATTTCATTAAACTCTTGTTACATGTAAACCTTTATTATTTCATTTTGTTCCACTGACCATTATCATTGTCCATCATGTGTTCATTTCAGGTGAATATGCATTGCAAGTGGTCTATTTTCATCTTGAAAGAAAACTAGGCTACTACCTCATTCAAACATACATTCCATGCTTCATGACTGTCGTTCTGTCCCAAGTTGTGTTCTGGATCAACAAAGAGTCTGTTCCTGCAAGAACTGTAGCTGGTATGAAAGCCTCCCATACAGTATCTGTTTCATTCTACTGTATGGTGTAGCAGTTTTACAGTAAATCAGTTGTGTTTTTAAGATGCATTTGTGTTCAGTAACTGGAGGAAGCACTTTTTCAATAACAGTAATATAACTCCATCTAACAGAGTATCTAGAAAATGTACAAAATCTTTTTTTTAATTTTTCTGTGTTCCACCATAAATATTTGCCCAAAAAATCTCAATGTGATCTGGAAATAAAGTGTAAATAAAGTGTACAGTAGGTTGTAGGAAGGGTGTTGTAAATGAGAATGAAGACCCCTTATAACAAGAGAAGTATCAGTGCTTTGCTTAAAAACATATAAATATATATAAGCATTAAGAAAGAGGCAAAAGTTCCCTACATAAAGGGAATGAAAACAAGGTGCTTGTCAAGATTTGTGGACACAAATGCAGTAGATATAATATGTAAATGTGTAATGTGTAAGTTCAAATACTAATATCCAAAGAAGCTCTTTGATTTTAAGGTTTTCTTGAAACCCATGTCATTACGTACAGTATGTTTAGAACCTGTTATGCTTCATGAAAATGAAAAGAGAATATTACATTAAGTGACAACAACTATAAAAATATTTGTGATTCGTTTTTTGACGTCATTACAGGCACAAAAAATGGGTAGAAGCTCATATAATTTACACTATAAATATGTAGATTGCTGAATCAAACTGCTGTTACTGGTAGTGGTCACTGAGTCTGAACTGGCTATTTATCTGTTTTTCGGATTCACATATTTTCAGTTATTTTTGTGTTACGTTCAATCATCTTTTGATGTACTGGCTAAAGATACTAAAGATAAACCAAATCAGGCAACTCATATTTGGGTCAACAATAAGGGTGAAACTTGTAACGGAAATGGGTAGCAAGGGAATTTCTGAAAATAATATTGACATGGGTTGCAAGTAACCATTTCTTTACAGTATATGTTTGATGTTTCATATATGCATGACGTTGATTTACAGTATATACAGTATATTAATTAACTAATAGGGAAGAGAACGTGGGGGCTATGTCCCTCTCAGCCTGGAGCAAATAGTCTCTCCACTTTGATTTGCTTGTTTCATTCAGGCTTCTAAAGTAGTTTTTCATCTATATTTCAAGGTATCACCACTGTCCTTACCATGACTACCCTCAGCATCAGTGCTCGACACTCCCTGCCGAAAGTGTCCTACGCCACTGCCATGGACTGGTTCATAGCAGTATGCTTTGCCTTTGTCTTTTCTGCGCTCATTGAGTTTGCGGCTGTCAACTACTTTACCAACATCCAGGCTCAGAGAGCACTGCGAAAGGTGGCCAAGGCAGCAGCATTAGAGGCTGCAGCTGCAACGAGCGAGGAGGAGATTGTGTCGGTAATTTTCTTCCCCTTTGGTAATAGGATACAAGACAAGAGCAGGCAGCCAAAGTGGCTTAGTGTGGAACTGATATTGCAGTTACTTTTGTGGTACTGCAGCAGATTACATAAGTACATGAAATCAATTTAAATGCACAAGGTGCATTCTTCGATGTTGGAGCAGTGTTCAGGCATTACCATTGGATAGCTTCATGCATTTGGAGGCGCTTGTGTCAACGTAACCTTTTTTAAGGTTTTAAAGTCTGTATGCATTTTAGGTGTACATACTGTACTGTAAGCTAGTAAAAGTACTGAAAAGAACAATTTGTGTCCTCTGTACACTAACCAAGTGGAATACAAATCACAGGGTTGCTCTGTATTATGCACATATATTGATTTTGCGTGTGTTTTAACCATTTATATTGCTTTACACAATTTTTAAATATCACCTAATTTTCTGTTGCTTAAAAAAGGAAGGTTAAATACAAGAAATTAGTAGCCATTATTTTTAACTAACAAGAGCGGGTTTGGAGACACACATCATCTTTGGGAATTTTGAAGAAAGACAGAGAGCCTTTGCCATGCATTTGTTTCTAAGCGCTCAGAAAGCCCAAAACAGGAACTGAGCAGTGAGGACTGTCAAAATACATTTTGAAATTTTGAAGTGGTGGATCTCAAAAGACTGCGAGGGCATACAGTACACTTTGCAGAAGCTCTGTATTTGAAATGAAAACTGATCACTCCTTTGTTCAATTACATGAAGTTGACAAAATATTGTTTAGCAATAAATGATGTTAATTTGTCACAGGTAGTGGAAAAATATCAAGCCTTTTGGGAGCTATCCTACATAAACTCACAGTCATTGTCGTTTCAAAAATAGCACAGTATTAAAACACTAAGCAGCAGTTCCTCCCAGCATGATCTTACACCACAACGGGTAGTGCACAGCGATAGGCAGCTGACATTTGCAGTTACAACCTTGTATGTCATGGAAGCTATTCAAAAATCCCCCCCCTTCATACTCCCCACTCGTCTCTGTAATATACACAAAGCTGTTCAAAATTTTCTTAAAGCAAAACAAGCTCATTAATATAGAACATAAGTAAAATACAAGCTCAGAGGAGCTTGTTTTAAATAACTAAAACAATTTAATGAGAGAAAAGATCAAGTATACCAATAGTCATTGATTTTTTGAATGCATATTGCAAATCAACAAACAAATAGATTATTTGGTTTCACATTAATGGTAGCAATGGCATTAGTGTCACCCTGATCATATCTCAAAATCAAAGTCTTCTCTTATCAGAGCCTAAACCCTGTTCAATCATTGAGCCTATTGCTGCTCTTTCTATATCATTTATTTAAAATAATCAGATGTTTTTACTGGCCAAGTAAAAAAAAAAAGCATAGCGGGTTCCTGTTAACAAAATGATAATTGTTTGCTCATTTTGTGACACTTGGAGAAAATCAAAAATTGATCCCGTGTTTTTTTAATTTTTATTTTCATGAACTGGAGCAGCACTCAGATTCCAATAGCAGCCTAAAGAAGAGATTGAACTCTGTGGTTTCCCGTAACGAACCGCCGATTGAAGAAAGCTATACACCCCCACCACAGCCACAATTCCTGCAGCAAGGATCTGCCATTCCTGCAAATATCCAACTTACGGGGACAAGCAAAATAGACAAATATGCCCGTATACTTTTCCCTTTGTCCTTTGGTGCATTCAACCTTGTGTACTGGATTGTCTATCTGTCAAAGGATACCATGGAGCTATCAACTCACTCTTGAAGGTATTGTGATTTGTATATTTGCTTTTTTGTACTGTATGTTTATATGAATTGTTTGATATACAGTACTGAATACTGTATGTACAAGTATGTGATGAAAAGGATTTAGATCGATTCTGAATTCTAGATTATGTTGCAAGTTCTTCTGCACTGTTATTTAGCTTTTTGTGAAATAAGTGGTAATTCTAAATGTTTAAATATCTGTCAATCTTAAGAATAAATATCTGGGCATCAGCTGTTTTACAAGGAGATCTGAAGAACTGGTCAACTTGACTGCTGCTGAATTATACTAAAATACAACCTCAGTGAATAAAAACAACATGATATAGCAATGAACATCTATGAACACCAAATACACTGTAGGGAAAGAACAGTTTATATCTCTATAATTACTACCGTGGGGCAGCATGATAATGTAGTCATTAGCATTTTTTGCCTCGCAGCACTGGGGCCCTGGGTTCAATCCTGGGTTGCTACTGTATCTGCCTGGAGTTTGTATGGGTTTCTTCTGGGTGCTTTGGTTTCTTCCCATAGTCCAAAGACATACTGACAGATTAATTGGCTTCTGGGGAAAGGTGTCCCTGGTGTGTGTTTGTGTCTGTGTGTCTCTCTCCTGGTGTCCCGTCCATGGTGTGCTCTGCCTTGTGGCCGTTGCTTGGCAGGATAGACTCCAGCTCCCCCATGATAGTGAATTGGATAAAGCATTTATAAAGTTATTTAATGAATTAACAATTACTACATTAAATTCATAGACCTGCCTGTTTAGCCTGAAAAATATATATTTTGACTCCAAGAGAGTGCCTAGGAGACCATCAGTTGTGAAATTGTCACTAACCATAAGTAGTTTTGGCCTAATTAATATATGATGCTATTTGTAACTATATTTTTGTAACTCTATTAAGAGGTATACTAAAAAAAGATCTGTAAATTGATAATAAAATACACAGCAACACAAAACATATCTGACCAAGATAGATACTGTAGTAATTATGATTCAAGACAATGCTTTTTATTACATATGAACAGAAGGTTAATTATTTAATCCCTTGTCTTTGATAGTACGTGGTTTTTTACCACCCTAAATTTTTATTAGCTTGTTTCAATGCCTCCGGTTTGGTATGAGGTAATCTTATGCCTAATGAAATTTGAAAGAACTTTACGATGTACACACCTACTACCGTACAGTACATACTCTATATGGACTTTATTAAATTCGGCAATATGGCAAACTCTGACCTATTACCTATAACTGTTGCCCGTATGGTCAAATTCCCACAGAGCATACTATAATGGATGAATTGTTTATATTTTATGGGTGCATTTGCAGTATCTTATCACATTCTTGATCATCCAGTAGTATCTGGTATATGGAAGTCACACTCTTGTGTAGAGGAGGGTATGTTTTTTTTTATGTTCGAACTGATATTGACATTTGCACAAGCAGATGATCCTACTGTAGAACACAGGAGTCTCATTTAATATATATTTTCATAATCATAATGTTTATATCATCATCATTCTCAACAGACCATCACCACCACCACCACCACCACCAACAATAACAATCATACAGTACATTGCTGTTCATCCCAAAAGATCCCATTGTATTTTATTCATAGGAAGAGATCAGCTTCATCCACCAGTGAATAAGCTGTCATGCAGATCAGCTTAAGCTGCTCATATGTACTCCTGCCACCTACTACTTAGCAAGTAAATGGAGAAATGAGAAATTGACTTGAATTGACTTGGATTTGAATTGTGGGGTCACTGTAAGTAGGCCAGATAGAGCAAGCCCACATTGAATTTCACCGATAACACTGTGGTTCATGTCTCCATTCTTCCAAACTGCAACATAAGACCTTTAATGGCCAATTAGTGAGGACTCCAGATTAATTTCTGACAACACATAGTACACATCACCATAATGGTCTGCAAATTCTAGTCCAGGGTGAAGAGCACCACCTACAGGTCCACAAAATATGCTTACAGCAGCAACCTCATTAGATCTGGCAAGTTGATAAGACAGCTGTTAACACCTGAAAAAGTGATAGCTATGAAAATGTAAATAACCGAATAAATGAAAAATGTGGAAAAATGAAAAAAATCATACAACTCTATATTTAGCTGAAAGATACTGTCTGTACTTAGTTATTTGAAGAATGCATAGTAACCAAAGAAGAGTCATTACAAGTCTAGACATATGCATTAAATGCAGTGTTGCACCACATCCCTAATAAGTGGTACTGTTTTTTTAGATTCTAAATATGATAAAATCCTCCAGCAAAAGCTCTAAAGTGAATGTTAAGTGATATGAAAAAATGCTTGCTGCAGAGCCATAATTACTTTAAAGTTTATAAAGTGTAACCCCTTTAATTAATTTCTAAAGATCCCATAGTCATGCTTCCACATAAGCAGTTCAAATCACTCATGTGACTGTCACAAAGGACAATACCACCAAATCTATTAGATTTATCAACAGGGTGGGTCATTACTCACCCCAGTAAAAGTAGTACTAAAGAAAATAATTTATTTTATTTGTAGTATACTGCAGATTGAGCCTTAAAATTAAGTCTAATTTTTTTATAAGAGAAGTTCAAGATGTTATATCCTATTCTTGTCTATTTCTGATCTTCTACATATAAATACATCTCACTGTGCATTTTTATGCACCCTTCCAACCACCCCATCTACACACTTGCAGCAGCTCCCTGGCTCATTCCTTGTGAAAATGAAGGATGTTTGCTCAACCCCATCCTTCCAGTCAGTCTGCCATGCTCTCAGTTAGGAGAGTTATACCAAATAACCTCTAATACATTCACCCCATTATCGCATTCATTGAGATCAAATTTACATATTGAATAAATATTTTACTTCATTTTAGGGTGAACTCTGTGAGTTACACCTCTGGCCTTGTTTGAAAGTGCTTTATATTTTCTTTGAAGTATTAAAAATATAGTCAAGGGGTTTTCAATTGTTTGAGTCAATTACTGTGGTGTAATTGACTACAGTATGGCTTCATGGGCTGGCCAAACATCCTTCTGACTACCAGATAACTGTGAGCACCAAGTGTTTTCACTGGGAGATGATTCACTCCTCTAATCAATGCTAGCTGTGCTCTGTGCACTGTGGATTTAGCAATGTGAAAAATGTCAGAATGTTCAAATGTGCATGTTTCCAAGGAAAACATCTTTGGCCCTCACCACTCCTTTTCTGTTACAAGGGTTAGCAATTAAAGCAAGTTTATGAACAATGGCTGATTCCAGTTTTATTTGTTATTAGAAACAGACCAATAATTAATGTAAATCATCACTAATCACATAATTATGAAATCTTTATTTGAAAGGAAAAAATGCTTTCAAAGGTTATGTGTACATGTATAATTTATGTTAGAAAACCCACATGTATAGGGTGCAATTGTATTTCTTCTGTTCTATTTTCTGTGGTTTGGTATCTTTTTAATACTACTGGGTCAATGACAAAAGCTACTCTAGTCGAGCTGTCACAGGACAAAAAAGGCAAGGCTGAGATCCACTCACTGTGTACTGTAAGTGCTATACAGTAACTGGTTAGAAAAAGCCTACAGTGGTGCTTGTTAATGAATAGGTCTTTTCAATATAGCCATTTCCAAAGACACATTAGTTTGAGAGGCTTCTTAGGATCTGAGTTTACAACCCCTGAATTTACCTGTAGGCAGTAAGATTGCTTTTTATTGCTTGCTAGAGAGGACTTAAAAACTGCTTTCCTTGAGTTGTAATAAATCTAAACCAGTAAGTGCTGTACAAAATGTTATTGTCAGATTTGGGTCTTTCTTTAAAAATATCTTCCACTTAAATGTAGAAGTTAATCAATATCTTTTAGCAATAAAAAAGCAAGGTCTGCAACGTCAGACGATTGTCATATAAATCCACGATATTTGCTTTGGAATAAAATTCTCGTAAGTACAATATAAAACACACATTAATGAAATGTATACTGTGATTTTTTTTTTCCGTGAGAGAAGTGTTGGGGGAACTAAGCTTTAAAAAAAACAGATAATGTTTTACTTGAAGAACTCTTTCATAAACGCTACAGTATGTTATAATAACATGCATTATCCTTTATAACCATTTGTGGAAATTCTATTACAGGCATGTTTAAATCTGCATAGACTACAGTAACTTACAGTTATTATATTCAATATATTAAATAAATTGTGAAAATTATTACAATCATTATAAAGCATATTAAATGTACAGTATATCAATTACCCTGATACTTTCATTAGTGTAAATCATTCACTCACATTTTATTTTGAAAACAGTAACAATATTTTGTCACCTTTTGTTCTGTTTTGAGACAGGTTCAGCTGAAAGCTAAGAGCAGTACTGCAGACAGAGAAAAGTCAGATGAAAATGATGGACTTGAGTGCTTGTTGGACTTGAGATATGTTTATATTAAATTTGTTTTACCATGTTATGTAGTGTTAATGAAGAATTAATAATTGTGTTTTCGAGCCTCATTCAAATAATGCAAAACCATTTTTCATATCTGGTTTGACATTTTCAATACATACGGTATGATTACGTCAATTAACAAGGACTGGTAGTATTGAAATGAAATGACAGTAAAAATTGTAATGCTTCAGTTTGCTCTCCTGATTATCTGTAAACTTGCATTTTTATGGAGCTCTAGGTTAAGCTAGCATTACTAACTAATCAAAAACAGACTTTGAGTGTGAGCATCTCATTGGCCTTATTCTGAAATTAGTGTCTTAGAAGAGGCATTTAATTTATGGAGACTGAAATAGAAAAGAAGAAGAATCCGAAGTTTAAGTGACTCCCAAGGTCAGTTTATCAGCACTTGAGTCCGGAATCAATTTAGATCAACATTATCACATGTTCAGACAAGAATAAAATAAATTTGCAGCATGTCTGGTATGCTGGTTCACACTACTCAATACCGACCCATTTAATTTGCCTGTTAATTAGAGCCATTCCTCTTGTATGAGATGCATTAAAGGATATATTTGTCTTCTTTGACTAAGCAGAGAAACCCTTCTCCTTTTTGGTATTAGAGTATTTTCAAATTCTCTTCTGTTGGCATTCCGCTTTCTTTAATCTGTCTCTTTGTTCTATATTGCAGGAAGAATGACCCTCACTTTTGGAAGTCACTTCAGAAGTGTGTAGTGAAACACGAAGACCTTGCTGCTGTCTCTTTCATTTTTGTATCATAGGTGTTGCATTTTTCCATGCCAGCTTTTATTGTCTGGAGGTAGTGTTGAGGCTTTTGCTCATTTAGAATTTCTTTGCCTTTAGCCAACCTTTAAATATATTTAACGCAGGGATTTTATTTGCTCTCAGAGCACATCTGGTTCTGGTGGCATTTCTTTCAATCCTAAATGCCTTTTTCCTTTCTTTCTGTTTGAATCAGGGCTTTCACAATTGCAGCTGAAGTACTGACATAACCCTGCAGGCTTGTGCAGTACAGTACTTTGTCTCTGTAAATGTGTACATGCATTACATTTAAAGCAGATGTGTGTGGTTCCGATGGGTTGATGGAGCTGATTGTGAGAGTCATTTGTTTTGGGAAACTCAGTTTTGTCATTTTAAACCAAATCTTTGGACCTGACTGTTAAAACATCATTTTTTGCAGACTATACAGAGTTACGTGCCGGTACACAACAGAACTCTATTTAGTCAGCCAGCAAATACAAAAGTTACGTTACTTTAAAACTCTTAAAAACCAAAGTTGTAGGAGGCCTCAGATACCAACTAGTTATGATAGTTATGTATGAAAGGCAGTTTGCACAAGACAACCTATGGGAAAACAGGGTTAAAAGCAACTAAATTGTTAGACACATATTTGGTATTTTCATTGTAAATCTCAGTGAAATATGCAACTACTTAGCTTTTGTTGTTTGCCAGGAAAAATATACCTGAAATGACAAGTTAATTTGTCATGCTTGTTCGCTGTGTTTTTGAGTTTTTGCCATTTGGTATTATTCTGTATTACAGCATCTGTTTTGCAAATGAAAACTAAATGATTGACGGCAGACAGACAAGGATTTGTGTTGAGAAATAATGTGATTTAAATCACACATCACATTTACATTACAATTATTATAGTCAATATATTATATAAAATATCTATAATTGTTATAATCTATATAAAATATATTAAATGTATATAACATCCTCTCATACTTTAGTGTACATATTTCACTCTTATTTAATTTTAAAAACAGGTTACCTTTATTTCTATTTTGTTCTATCAGTTTCATCAATGAATTTTAAACCTGTTATTGGGGATCAATTTCCCAGTAATATTTTCCATGGATAGACAAAGACATTTGTTTTGGGAGATTAAAGGTAAGCCAGAATAGGTCTTAATGTATAATATAATAACATTTAAATTTCTATGCATATGCCACTGGGGACATTTACTGAACATGTAGATTTTGTCCCCATGGAAAAAGGCAGCTCCAATGAAGAATTATTTTATACTCAATAATTTTAAGAAACTCCTAAGTTTTTTTTATAAAGTTTTCTTTACATCTCAAAGCTGTTACTATATATTTTCTGTCACTTTTTTAAATGGACGCTATTGACAGATTTTCAACCCCCAATTTTCAACACATTTGGTTTAAATATATTAAATGTCTTTTTTCTTTCAAGTCAGTGGTGGCTGCATACTGTGCTGTACTGTATATCCTTGTTTTACATGTTTTGTAGAAAAAAGTGTTATAATTAGTTAAGGAATGTTAATCTTTTCTTACCAATAAATATGCATATGTACAGTTTAAATTAAAATTGAGTATACTTGTGCATTGATAATGAGCAGAACATACAATACAATAAAAACATACTTTATCTGATTTTATATATTTATTATCTTGATATATAGCATGATTTATGAACTATTGAAACTTTTTAGTTAAAAAAGTGTATTTTTTTCTTTTTAATAATCATTTTACAATAAACATAACAATTTTTACCTTAAGTAGCTTAGTGTTGTTTGTGTTAAAAATAAAGAAGGATATTTTATTACTTGCAAATTATTTTCTGTATTAATGTTGTATTTATACCTATTTATTAGACACATTCTCTACCCTGAATATTTATTATTACCAAGTTTTGTATGAATGTTATATCATAAATACACCTAAAATAAATTTTGTCATATTTTGGTTTTCCAGTCTAAAATAAAGATTCTTCTGATTTGTTCTTCAAAATGTTTCATGCATTGCTTTTGCAAGTTGAGGTCGTTTGTGATCCAAACTGAAAGGTTTTTTAACAAAAATGGATGTGCAAAGGTGAGCATGACTGATGGAGTTTTTTTTTTAAACAGAAGTCAGGAATGAGGTTTACATCTATTCTTGCCCACTTCTCTTCTCTTTGCCAACTCTGTTTTGCCTACTGAACATATCTTTCACATATCGTCTCGTATTTGGGGTTTGCTCTGCTCAGAGAAAGACCTTACCTTTCAATTCTCCATGTCCACCTCTTCATCCTTTGTCATTCCCGCCAGCTTCTGCTGCGGTCAGTGCAATTGCTCTGGCTCCCACCCTATCATTTCCTCAGCACCTCCATACCCAGCTTTCTGATTACCACTTTCCTTCAAGCCAAAGTGGGGAGTTGCCTACTTACTTCAACTTGAACATGCAGCTCTTTGACCCATTCTTCTCCACACTCCGCGGAAAAAAAAATGGCTTCCTGCAGTTGCCATGACGTCTACTCTTTTTCTGGCTACTTTTGATTTTAATCCCTCCGTACCCCAGGCTCCGGAACAACTATGTTTCTATTTCCCCTTTCCCTCTCCACTCTTTATCCAAAATCCCGCTTCATTCACTATTTCCCTATTTCTCTCTCCCCTATCTTTTCCATTTCATTGTTGGACATCCACCCCACAGCACCAGGCTCCAATGTCCATCTCTTCCCTTTCCCCAGTCCTCCTTTTCTCCTTTCCCTCAAGGAGCCTCTTAGCTACCAGTACTGTGGTCTCAGTGCAAGCACACAGCATCCATCTGGGCTGGGTTCAAGGTCCTCATTTACAGCTCCTGCCGCCACCCACTGTCTGCTACTGGTTATAGCCCAGGCAGTGGTGGTGATGTGTTCCCTACCTCAACCTCAACTCTGATAACCAAGCGATTGGGTTGTCGGTCCCCAGATCTCCCCACTTCAGCTTCCATTTCACCAAAAGCCCCAGCAGAGACCCTCCATCCCTGCCAGAGACTGGTCTCCCAATTGCTTTAGCTGCTATTTTAGGGGATTCGCCAGGAATCCATCGTCTTGTGCTTACATTCAGTACGTTAAGTTTGATGATGCCATTAACCAAGGAGTCTCTTATTATTCCCTTCACTTATTGCCATGTGTCTTTGCATCAAATAACAGACATGTTTTAGCGAGCATTTATTCACTATCAATTCCAATACCTATTCTGCATAAGGCTAAACTAAGCCATCCATAGTACTGATAGCTTCAGGTTACTCCTTCCTGGTAGGCGCAGAATCTTTCACAACCCATCATTGAACCCCAGTCTCTACCAATCAAATCCTAGAATAGTCTTCCACCAAAGCCTGCCTTGCACAGACCCAAACTGCTAAAATCATTCAAAAGCTTGTGCACCACAAGCTCTGCCATTGAGGATCTCTTCATTAGAGTGTTAGGGTTCCTTTGATCTCTTTTGGGCATTTTGTCATTTTATCGATTTCCACAGCCAGACATTTACAAAAAAAAATTCAATGTGTCATCTCACTGTGTTAAGAGTTTGACGGGGAGGAGGGTGGGGATAATGATTGAGTAGTAGATGCTGATCAGAGTTATAAGAGTGGATAATTAATGTGTGTGGGTAAGGTAATGCTGACTTTCATTAAGCTGGTTCAGTTTTGTGTGGCTCAGTTCACAGCCGTATGATGTGGAAGGTTGTAATGTTACTGGGGAAAAAAAACTTTTCTTATGTTAGGACATGTGCTGATAAGGCAAGAATTGGTAGAAACTGGGAGGCTTGGAGCTTTTGTATGTGCTTTAGCAAAGTGATTTTTGATTCCATTTACATTTAACACTTGATATTAATGCAGCTGTTTGCAAACTTTTAAAACAAATTGTTAAAGACAATTACTATAAATAAAATTAAATTGGTCCATATTTTATAGTTAAAAAGTGTTCATCTTTCAACAGTAAATGTGCCATATGTTTCTGTCTCGCATAGCACAACAGATTGTTAAATTATTCATATTAAAATTAATAAATATTAAATGAAACAGATTTCAATATGCCAACATAGATACCTTTTATTCTTACAGAAGAAATGTGATCTTAAAAAAATCAGTGTCTGTGATAATTGTTGAAAGAGTATGAGTATAAAATGGGGACCAATGGTAAATTTATTCTTCTGAAGACAAACCAAATACAGTACATGCATTGTCATCCAAATTTAAATTCCTTCTTAGAATATCATATTTTCCTTTCTGAATGTTATTAATGATCAATTAAATGTAAATGTGATATGTGTAATGGAATGTGGTGTAAACTCCTGAAGAATTTTAAAATGTAATAAAGATAAAATACAGTAAAATTACCTGAAGTGAGCCTTATGTAAATCTTCATTTGAAGGATGTTAAACAGTGTTAAGATTGTAATTTAGTGTAATATGAAATACCCGTTAAGATTAACAATAAGAATCTAGTTTGTATTCATGTTTTTAAATATTGATGAAGTCATGTACTGAGCAAATGTTTTTACTGGAATAATAGTGATAGTGAAAATATTAATGGGGACAATCCTGTCCTTCATTATTTAAAAATAGTTATATTTGAAAATGAACAATTTTTACAGCCTAAGATCTTATATTTATTTGTCAAAATTATGTCTTCCTTTGATTTATAACAAATATGAAATGTATGCTTATTGGCCAATGTCTGAATAATTCAAATGCTACTGTATGTAATGAGAAAAGAAAAGAAAACTTATTTGCCATTAGTTGTGTGTCTGTGCTGCTACTCTGTTGAGAAGAATAATTTTCATATCAATACACTGAGGCCTGACGCAGACAACAAAAACATAAAAAAATGCTCACAAGACATAAGATTAGCTGGTTTTCAAAAGGAAAGTTTTATATCTAAATCTCCCTAGTACTTGGATACAATATCTTGAACAGCATTTGAGGAGTCAGATTTTGAAACTTTGCCCTGGAACTTACAGGAGTAAAATAAGAAACAACATATTTGCATATAACTATGGGGATCATTTGGTCAAGTACTGATACAATCCTTGCACTCTGGTTTTACACTTTGAAGCCTGTTTCTCCAAGGAAAAGGACATCATTACATGTATTTCTCTAAATCAGGGGTTTTCAGTTTGAAAACCCTTTTGATTAATCATCATAGAATTGTGTTACAGCCAGATGTTGTTATTATTTAATGGCTAATAGCAAGACAAGGCAAATCAAAGAATGGAATGAAAACAGAATGAAAGGACTGAAAGATAAGTAGACCTATTCTAGAATCCTCTCACAAACTCTTGGCTCAAATGTAACATTTAGTTCCAGCTGTAAAAAGTTATCTTATCTTAAGAGTAGTGGATGTAAACCTGATAAACAATTGAGGGCCCCTGGTCTTAATATTGATAGAGAAAATTTTTCAAACTATCTTAGACATTACTGGCAAACCCTTTTGCAATCCAAATTAATTTCTACTTTGAAAAGTACACAAAATTTACATAGATAATTTGTCGGAGCCCATTGTTCATCAAGTAGTTGATGACTTATGAGCCCCTCCCCATCACCCAATACTGGAAAGACTGGCCCTAACTAATTTATCATGTCAAATGGGAAGTGGAATTATTAAAAATTTGGGATCATTGACATATCAATCATATAGTTTATCTCCATTAAAAGAATATAACAATGTTAACAAGTGTCAATCACAAAATATCTAAATAGCACAAAGAAAAATAAATAGCATGATGTCTTTGTTTCGGGATCCTGAATGTCATAACTCAGCAATCTTTTGGGGTGGTGCAACCAATGCAATCAAAAGAAGCATTAATATGGTCATTTAATTTTGAAGTTGCTCTGAGATATTGTTATGCCACGCCCCCAGAGGACTTGGCATTCCACCTTGCATTCCAATAACAGTCCCCAATTAGCCAATTTACCCCCAGCTTATTTAATGCTGCTTCACAGTCTCCCCTGTGCTCAGTATTACGGTTCTTCCTGGCTAGAGCTACTCCTATTCTTGCGATTACTTTCTACTTGGTTTTTTGGCTTCCTGATCCTGGTTTGTTTTTTGACTACGTCTCCTGGTGTTTTGGTTTTGGTACTTTGATTCTCGCTTTGGTTTTGACTCTTGGCTTCCTTACGGCTTACGGCATCGCTTCTGGTTCCTGCCCCTCCTGCAGCTCCTCATTCTTCCCGAGTAGCGCCATTTATTATGGCGTTTGACAGAGATCCTTGCAAGTATAGGGCCCTCAGTATAGGGCTCAGTGTTTAATGTTTTTTTGCCTTCATCCAGAAGAGTTTTTTTCTCCCTTGGCTAAGGCAGCCTTTATTGTCTCCCTTTGTTCTGGAAGAGCTCTCGAATGGGTGACCTCGCCCTTATAGCAACAAGCTTTAATCTTTTTCAAGAGACTTTGCGGAGGGTATTTCACCACTTCTCCCCATCTCAGGATGCACCTTCCAGACTGATGACTTTGAGGCAGGGCAAGAGGTCGTGGCGGACTACGCACTGGAATTTCGGGTCGTTGCGGCGGAGCTGTCCTGATGATGATGATGGTGAGGTCTCGATCCCTCTTTTTAAGCAAGGGCTCTCTGAAGAAGTCAAAGACAATCTGTTTCTATTGCGTCAAAGAGGAAGTGATTTCCTTAGTGATCGATTTG